GTAAATTTCTGCCTTGGCCTCCGCATCCAACTGTATGTGCAGTGGGCGGAGTCCAAGAAGTATCTCCAGTGCAGCTGTTGGAGATGTTCGAAATGATCCGTTTATACCTAAGCAAGCCAACCTTTGCAATTTGTCAAGTTCTGTCTTGCTACTCTTGAATTTAACTCTGGGCCACCATACTGTGACACCATAAGTAATTATGGGTCTCACAACCGCAATATATAAACAATGTACAACGTATGGCTGTAGTCCCCAAGTTTTACCAAACATGCCCCTGCATGTCCAAAAAGCCTTATAGGCTTTGTTAATAACTTTGTCCAGCTGCTTTCTCCATGTTAGTCCCTTGTCTAATACTAGTCCAAGGTACTTGACATCGCTGGAGAGCTGGATTGTCTTACTGAAGAGAGTCGGTTCCTTAAGATCCTTTATATTTGTCTTCCTAGTAAATGGTATAACTACCGTCTTGTTGGGATTGATGGAAAGACCTGTTCTTTCACACCATTGTTGGACCATGTACAGAGCTGATTGAAGACGCTCTGATACGGTCGAAAGGAATTTTCCATTTATGAGGATTGCTATGTCATCAGCATATCCTACTGTATAATAGCCATCATCAAGTCCCCACAGGAAATCGTCGACGACCAGACTCCACAGCAGAGGCGAGAGTACGCCCCCCTGTGGACATCCCCTAGCCACGGACACCCCCAGGGTCTCTCCCGATAATGTAGCAGCTATGGTTCTGCTTTCCAGCATAGCATTGATCCATCTGCATATTGCAGGCTCTATGCCATGCCTTCCAGCAGCTTGTTTGATTACATCAAATGAGGTTCTATCAAAGGCTCCCTCTATATCAAGGAATGCTCCAAAGGCAATACCCTTGTGTTGAATTGCACTTTCTATGCGTGTTACCACATTGTGTAGTGCACTTTCGGTAGATTTACCTGTTTGGTAGGCATGTTGGTTTCGGTGTAGAGGATAAGTCCTCAATGCCCCGTCCCTAAGATGCCTATCTACTAGTTTCTCCATCGTTTTCAAAAGGAAAGACGATAGGCTGATAGGACAATAAGCCTTAGCCTCAGTATAATCAAGTTTCCCGGGCTTTGGAATAAACGTCACCTTAACTTGCCTCCAGGCTGTGGGGACGAAACCATGTGCCAAGCAGGCTCTATATATGCGACATAAGTGTGGAACTAAAAGTTCTGCCCCATGCTGCAAAAGTGCAGGTACAATTCCATCTGTTCCTGCTGATTTAAATGGTTTAAAAGTGTTCAAAGCTCATCTTATCTTTGAATGGTTAATTATGAGTTTGGCCAGGTTCCAGTCTGCCCTGTTCATCTTGCTTTGGCAAGTGTCCAGGTTCTGCTGACCCTGCTCATTGTCCAAACTGTCAATCAATTTTGAATCAGGAAAGTGGACCCTGAATAATTCATTCAGCGTTTCCCTTCCTGTTTGAGTATACTGTCCGTCAGGCAGCTTAATTGTGCTAACCTTGTTGGTTGCCTGTTTTGCCATGATCCTCATGAGTCTGGCACCGCCTGGTACATCATTGATCTCCTGGCAGTGCCTTCTCCATGAGGATCGCTTGGCTTCCCTTATTTCTTTATTGTAACAGGTAAGGGCTTCCTTATAAGTGTCCCATTGCCCTGTTCTTTTAGCTGTATTAAACAGCCTTCTCGTTTTGGTTCTAAGCCCACTCAGCTGTTTATTCCATCAAGGCGCTCTCCTTGGTCCACCAGTGGTCCTAGCCGGACAATTCTGATTAAAGGATGAGATAATAGCCCGTTGCAACTGCTCAACGGACCGATCAGCATCCTTTATTGTGCGTATATTACGCGAGATGGCCTCCAGATTTACCTTTAGGTCGTCTTTGTAAGACTCCCAATTGGTTCTCTTAGGATTCCTATAAGTAGTTTGATCTACTGTGATGTTACTTATTTTAAAGCATATATATCTGTGATTCAATAGAGACGGCTCATCAGATACATGCCAGTTACTTACCAGGTTTTCTATGTTATTAGTCCCTAGTGTCAAATCAATAACCTCCTTCGTATTGCAAACCACAAAGGTAGGTTCGTTACCATGGTTTAGAATATTCAGGTTCGAACTCACCAGAAATTCCATAAGGCTCTCTCCCCTTGGGTTAGTGCCAGTGCTCCCCCACAAGATGTGGTGCGCATTGGCATCACACCCAATGATGAGTTGCTTTTTCCTGCTAAAGCAGTAGTCTTTGATGTCCCTTATTTCCTTAGTTGGTGGTGGTCCATCCGAGTCATATGGAAGGTAGACTGAAGCAACTATCAGCTCCCTGCTGCCTTCTCGATATGGATATGTTATCCTTACCGCCGCTGTATCCCTTGAACAGAGCTCCAGCAAAGGCAAGGCATTAACATGATTCCTGATATAAACACAAGATCTTGCATTATTACTGGGTACAACAGAGTAAACTGTTCCCCCTGTATTATTTAAGCCCCTTATTTAACCAAGGTTCCTGAATAAGTGCTATGTCAGCCTTACCCTCACCTAGATGTTGACACAGAACTGCCGTGGCAGCTTTGCTGTGGTGTAGGTTGATTTGGGGAAATCTCATGATCTCTTCCAATTTTTTTATTTTGTCTCTGGTAGGTTTTGAATCATTGGTTCATCCCTGCCTTTGGCTAAGACTGCAACAGTAGGTTTGCTGGTTGCTTCTGAGCCCCTTAATGGTTCACCAGCTGAAGCATTTCTCATAGGGATCCCCTTAAAGGGGGGTCCCTCTTCAGTTGAAGGTCCTTACGACTGGTTTTTTCGTTTGGTCCCACGAGTAATGGGGATTTAAAAGGTCACCACCCGCAGAGCCCCATACGGGTGGAAGGCATAAATACAACGGGGTGCTGCCTGGTGCCCCGAGGGGATCGTTCTCGACACTGGCCAATAACCACCCCAGTGCCATGCAGCCCTCGGCACGATGCCTCACACCTTGGCTTAGGCGGTTGGTCCTTCATAAGTATACCCCTCACAAGCCTCCAGGACCAAGAGTGCATGTTCGGGGGGAGGGGATATCCCAGAAAACTGGGAGTGCGATACTAGTTGTCATGAGGTTGTGACCAGGGCAACCTACACGAACTTACCGCCCCTGGAAGTTGCTTCAAAGCTCCCCCATTCTCACCCCTCCACATGGGTTGGTCGAAACCATTTTAGAGTGTTGAGCCCTAAGGCTTGTGGCACCTTGTCGGTACTCTAGGGAGACAACTCAAATAGCCATAGCTACCCCCATAGGAGTGCTCTCCCGCATTCGTCCTGGGTACATTGTAATGAAACCCAAGAGTCATTATGCCGCCGCGTGGGAGGCTCTGGTCAAATGGCCATTGCCCTTTATGGAAACGCGGCCACCAGCCCCGGAGGTTCACACTAATGTAGACCCCCCAGGACTGTCGTTGCCCAGCAGGACCACGAGGAGATGCTCCAAAGCTGTGTCTCAACACATCCCTGGTCTATGATACATCCCCACCAAAGACACAGCCACCCTGCCAAAGATACATTTAACTATTAGAAAAGGTTTTGGAAGGATTTCAGTAAATAATATAATCTTATTTTTCAAGAATAGGTTAAGCATGATTGGACAATTTTCAGATTGGACTGGAAAGGACGAAGATGAGGGAGACATAAGTGTATGGGAAGATAACTGGGATGATGATAATGTAGAAGATGACTTCAGTATGCAGTTAAGGTACTGATATATCACAGCACTTCGTGAAATTACTTGTAATGTTCATTCATGATTTCCAATTTGTTTCTCCCCAGCTTCATATCTTAATATAGGAATGATAACAATTTTCTGGGAGTGTTATGGTTCAGAAATAGTGTTAGGACAGTTGAAGAAATTAAATTTGTGAAAACTATTAAACCACTCTTATTAGTCATAGTAGCAAAAATGTGTAAGATTACCTTCAATTCATATGGGGATTTGGAAAAATTCTGGAGTGTGCGGACACAACTGTAATGTTGTACCAGCTCTTTATGTTGATGGATTGTAGTATCAAATGCTCAAGACACTTGTGAGGAATAATAATTTAGTTAACATCCATAACTGTTACACAGGCACAATTTCACAAGTCAGTCGTAAATAGTCAATCAACAACTCTTAAAAAATGCACAAAAATATACAAGACAATGTACAATACAATCCTTTTTGGTCAGTATCCCCTTACTATAGCTTGCCAACCACAGGTGACAACTCCGAGCAATTCAGTATAAAGCAATATATATACTTAAACCACCAAAAACACAAGTCAGCCATGTAAAAACAAAACATCACATGTTTAGTAAGATAACAGTCCAAAAACCATCTGTGTACTTCTGTATCATATCAGAACTAACTTAAATTACCAATCTGCCACCGTGTCATTGTTACTAACAAAACTCTTGTAGCATAGTTAGTTGAGGGGCTATGCTACAAGCCGGAAGGTCGCGGGTTCAAGTCCCAATGAGGTCATTGGATTTTTTTTCAATTGACCTAATCCTTCCAGCCGCACTATGGCCCTGGGGTTGACTCAGCCTCTAACAGAATTGAGTACCAGGAATTAAATAATTTTCCTGGGGAGTAAAGCGCGACCAGTGTGTAAGGCTGACAGCCTTACCGCCATCACTGAGCCAGTTGTCTAGATAGTGTGGGACCCTCAACATCTCACAACCCTATGGGCCTTCTCGGCCTGTTACAGGGATAGCTTTCCTTTACTTCACTTCACTTTAGAGAACAAAAACAATTTTATAATATCTTTTGTTTAAAAAAAATAGTTCTTTGAATTTGGAGGGTAAGTTATTATGTATTTTTATTCCTATGTTACACTTTTTTTTAAACAAGCAGTGTTGCATAATTGGACATACAAATCCTGTTTCTCTTTTGTGTTGTACTTAATGAATATCAAAATATTGAGTTCTATAGAATTTATTCTTTTTTATAAGGCACAAGATCTGATATATATAATGGAGTTACAGTTAAAATCTTAAAATCACCCAACAATCTCATGCATGTCAAGGAATGTAAAATATTTGTAGATAATATAGGCAATTGTCAACTGATCCTCAGTTATTATAGATTCCAAAGGTTCATCATTGCTGCATCAGAACCCAAAGTTTGTAATCTTATAGTAATCATGCAGATAGAAGTACAGTCACTCTTGAAACTTGCCTTTGTGTTCTATTAATACATTTTTTATTTTCTTGCAGAGCTGAGCTTGAAAAACAGGGAGTTAAACTGGACTCATAATTTTGGTATATCTTCCGTAACTTACTAATTATTTGAATAGAAAGTGTTAACACATTCTCTGTAATAAAATGTAATATTATCTTCAGGAATCAATAAACACTATACTTTGTATTTATTATTTAAAAAGTATTTTTTTTAATTATGAGACCCAGTTAATTTCATTATAGCAGTGACTGGTTTCAACAAGAATACATTTACTGTAAGGTAGTAAGAGGCTTGTTCAAATGAAACCTCTTAAATCACAGGATAATTGAACCATCAATGTACAGAGGTTTGTACCACTATCAGGGGAAAGTGTTCTGGCATTGTCATCATGTTGCACAATAATGCCTATCCAAGTGGCTCACACTTTCCAGGGCAGACTCCACTCCATACACTGGAAGATACTGGACCATCTCCCATGCAGCCTGGAACTGTCCTTGTGTACCTTCCACATGTTCAGCCACGTAAAAAAGTGCTGAAGGTCCGTTATTGTGTGTGGGATGAAGCTACCAAGGCCAAGGTAAACCAGTGGTTCCAGCAGCACTCCAGGAATTCTTTGTGGAAGTGTTCCATTGGCTGATGCATCAAAAAGATATGTGGGATATTTCCCTCAATGCCCATGGGGACTTTTTAATGGCCTCCACTTCTTCATTCAGAACAATCCCCAAAAACGTTTCATTATTTTGTGCATATTATTTACAAAATTCATCTGTATAAAACCACAAAATACTTTGCTTGACCTGTAAGTCCTGATCATTCTTAATATACGAATCACCGATTTTAACAATAATACATTTAATATCAAGATGTGAAGAATACATGAATATGACTGGCAGGTACGATCATTTCACTTGACGCCCAGCAACGTACACCTTGCTGATGTTGCGATCATCACCAGTGTACAAAAACTTCTGCACCAATGCTTCAGTATCATACTCTCCTAGGATGTCAATTGGACCTAGATTCTTCATATTAACAATTAGAGCATCAAAATCTTTCCCAACTTTGAAATTGCCAATTGTATCATCCAATGCAACAGCTGAAATTAAAAAAAAAAATTAATTTATATATTAGTGTCTCTAGAGCCTGTCAAAAGGAAAAGAGTAAAAGGGGTAAAGTTGCCCCGTGCTTAACTAACTAAGCACTACGCCATGAAGACTTAATGGGGGAGTGGATGTATAGATCCATGTTTTCTTGACCTTGGCAAAAGTTGGAGGTGAGTGGTCAGCTTCACCCCCCCCCCGGGAAAGAGCTCCTGGTATGCATTGTATAGAAAGCTGGATGAACCCCAGAGCCAGTCTGGATGATATGGGAAAGAGAAAATTCTTGACCCTAACAGGATTCAAAATCTGACCCCTCAGTTGTCCAGTCCTAGCCAGTCAGTATACCAACTGCACTATCCCAGATCCTGGCCGCACCATAGCTCAAGCGGTTAGTCGTTGGCTTCCCATCACGGCAGCCCGGGTTCGATCCCGGGTCTGGTCAAGTGGGATTTGTGGTGGACAAAGTGGCGCTGGGGCAGGTTTTCTCCGAGTACTTCGGTTTCCCCTGCCAATCTTCATTACACCACCTGCTCCACAATCACCCCCACCTATCATGTGGGGCTGGTACAATAGGCCAGAAGTGGCCGCAGTACAAGGAACTTAGTCCCACCCCACTAGCAACAAAAAAAATCCCAGATCCTGCATCATTAAATAAATGATTAATAAATTAAAATGTAATAGATTTGTAAAACTGGGATATAAAGTGCATGACTCACTTGCTAGATGCCCCTCTGACCATAGTATCATTGAAGTCAAATTGGGAGAATCATCTGTATTTTCTTCTGTTTAATTGTGAATGAAGCAACCATTTACCTACCTCTCGCACCTCCTAATGTTGCAAGATAGAATGCCTCAGGATATGTGAGAGGTGCATAGTTGCTGCCCTTTCCATAGGAAATGTGGATTGAAACATCCAGAGTATTACGAATGGCATCCAAGATGGATGGACTGTATCCACCTGATACATCTGTAATGTGTGCAGAAAAGTTTAAGTTACCATTCTGTTCCTCTGGAAAGGAATAAAATCCAAGTATAATATTCAGTTTACATTTTGGAATGATGTGTGTATCAGTGATTAATGAAAGAAGTATTGTTGCTGCTAAGTTGAAACAAAATGGAAATTCCACATGGCTGTCATGTTGTTTTACATTCTCCAAAAAGATACCTGAACAAAATCTGCACACTTTCAAATCTATGATCATACATAATGTAACATGTTTCGCTACTGTGGACGCCGTAGAGATTGTTAATTGGTTTATTCAACAACCTACAAGTAACAGCTACAATTAATTATCACACAGTTGCAGGGTTTCACACTTTATAACCCTAATCGCAATAATCTGTTTACACGGTTGTGGGGTTTCACGATTTATAACCCTATTCGCAAATCAGTTCACTCTGTCTTCAGTAGTCTACACGTTTACAGTACGGGAGCTATGTAAGTGTCCCTGTATCATACACTCCCAATTACACAACTACACACGTCCGGTTCTTCTTTCCGTGAACGCTGCTATACTCCAACTGTAGGCTGCTGACTGGAGAACTGTCTTCGGCGCTGATACACTTTAACTCTCTCCGGGGATGGCTACAAGTTAACTCTACTACAACTGAACTCGGCGACTGTTCCAATTCCCTTATATAGCCGCAGTGCTTGCCTGTTGCGTAATGAGTGCCACGTCGCCGTGTTTGCGTATGGCCTAGCAACGCTGTTACCTCATGCCATCTTATGTCACCATGCGGAGGGGGGGTGACGGAGCACTGACTCATCTGCCACGTCACTGTGCGGGGACGGGTTCTCCTCCATTGCACAACATGTCAATAATTTCAGGACCCTGTAGTAGGTGGAACTAGTGCCCAGCCCACTTCAAGAGTTCATGTGTCCTACATGTTGTTACTGATTTCAGAAAATAAATAGTATGAAAGCAGAGTAGCTTCCAATGGCATGTTTGTACCAAAGTTTGCAAGAATCAGTTTTGTTCAAACATTGAAAAGGTGGGGCACACACTGACCTCATAAGCCTATATTTTTCCCAGAGATAGGAAATTAGACAAAACTTTAATGAAAATAGCACTGAAACAAAAATTTGAATAGGTGTGAAGTTGTAATTTCTTATAATTTATAGAAGCTGGGCTTTTTTCATCCAGTAACCATAGTGGCAATCAACTGATGTATCAGCAAATTTATTAAAGACCTCACATCTACCAGCACATTGCATGTTTTGACCATGTGTTTAAAACTGGATGTAAGTGTGTTCGCAAACATGTTTACAGAAGAAGAAAAAAAAAGTGGTGATTACAAGTCCCTACTATACTTCTGAAAGGTGATTGGCAGTGATACGGTAAACAGGATGACAAACTGGTCTTTTAATGAAATATGACATTAAGAGTGACATCCTGGACATACTGCAATGGATATAAAGTTTCAAAGACTTTATACGGCCATGATATGTATGTAATGGCCATCTTGTAATGCACTCAATTTCATATGTCACTTCTTACTACATGTTTCGGCAGCATAGTGTCATCTTTATACAGCTACAGAAAGAAATGGTTCTGTAATATAAACACAGTTTTAATACTTGAGAACAGTGTCAATTCACCTCTTCAACTGCTCCATCAAGTATATGAAACCTACCTGTACCCAATCCAACTTTGATGCCAGCATTCAGTAATCTACGAACATCACAGAGGCCACTTTTAAGGGAAGTGTTTGAGTTGGGACAATGTGAAACTGATGAACCACGAGCAGCAAGTAGTTCAAGTTCTTCATCATGAAGGTATACACCATGGGCTAGTACAGTCTGAAACATAATTTTGCATGACAGTATTTTTGGATTCCTAATGAAACAGTGTAGGGTAAATTCATAAATGCTTAAAAGTGGCTTACTTTGTCTGTCAGAAGTTTGGCTTTGTCATATACATCAGCATAATTCTTGCAGTCACGGTACAATCCTCTCACAGCTGCAACTTCGCCTTGGTTCTCTGAGATGTGAGTCTATAGGAATTTAGTATATGAATCAAATTTCCATACTACCTTCAACTCGGTAAAATCGATCTGATACAATATGCAATTTAATGACTCTAATGATCGTTTCAGCCTAGTTTTGGCTATTTTGCCATTTTTGAGGGTGTTTATCCCTCTTTAAAGGTAACAGAAGGTCTACACTTCATGTCTAAAATACATTAGGAATACATTATGACCTGAATGCAACTCCCAAACAACCAACTTTTTCTTTGAAGAGCAAAGCTCTGCTTGCTGCCTGTTTCTTGCTGGTTTTGTGCTTGGCTTACCCTTTGACCCTGAAGATGAGGCAATACATTCATCTGAAAAATTGGTGAACTGGACTATATGGCATTACATCCCAGAAGATGGTGCTTTTCATGGTCACCGCAGTGAGAAACTCAAATCCAACAACTTCTTCGCAGCTCTATTTCTCTAGATGCCATGTATTCAGAAGTATGAAGAGCATCCTATATTACCATTTGTAAACAGCAATCTTGTGGCTTACATGTGACAGTTCTCATGAAAGATGTCAATTGCACAACCACCACAGAGATCGCCAGTTTGAACAGTCTGTAAAATAGTATACCATAATATGGAGATAGTCCTTAAACTACAGTGCTACTTTCGTGCCGCCAATAAAAAACATTTGTTCATGTGTCAAATCAATTTCATCTCAGGGATAACATTCACTCTGTGGTCTACAGTTTCTCTTCCCCTGCTCTGTGACCAGTTGTCATGCGGCTACATTTAAAATGAAGCCACAGGTCATGGTCCTACATAGTCCCAGAGGTGTAACTTTCACACGGTAGTCATAAGACTGTCACATTAGCTACCATGTTATGTAGCACCTGCTTTAACATTAAACTCTGCACTTTTTTGCATGGCGTGTAAGCATTGGATCTGCATGATTCGTAGAATAGAGGGCAGTTATTTCTCTAAATACATCAGGCAGTTCATCTTTGTAATGCAGAAGCAGTGCTCAGAATTAGTGGGTTTTTGGACTTCGTCCATTGCCCAGTATTCTAGAAATTAGAAAAAACGACGTTTTGGAAACTGGATCTGTTTCCATCCTCAGGTGAGGGGGGAAGACACCTACTGTATTAAAAAGAGCTAACCTTACTCACCGGACCAGACGTACCCAGTTTCCAAAACGTATTTTCTAGTTTCTGGAATACCAGATGATGGACAAAGTCCAAAAACCCAGTAATTCTGAGTATCATACACCATCGTCAGGAATGGCAAGGCGTGAATTTGACTGTGGTTTTTCTATGATCCATGTGTGTTATCCTGACAACTTGAGCTATCTGTGAGAGGCCTGATTATATATTTTATTGGACAAAGGATGAATGATGTGTAGTCATCATGAATTTGTAATATGTGACGTTTTATATCCAACCCTATGGGGAGATGATTCGATCCATGAACTGAAAATAAATGTAAATGTAAACCCTTCATAATCTACTAGAAGCAATGCTATTTCTGTGACGATAGAACTGAAATTTTAAGTATTATTAAATATATAAATATAATATACAGTAAAACTTGGTTATAGCAACATCGGTTTCTGCGACACCTTGTCTATTGCGTCAAATATTCAATGGTACGAACTAATTCCTCATAAAGCAACTGTTTTTATACCTTGCTTAGTATGACACGCACAAATGCATCAACCTCGTATGTAACGGCATTTTCATTCCTGAAGTTCTCTGATATCATGGGAAAGTTCGATGTGTCTGCCCACCCTCACTTTCTCTACTTGCTGAAGTGACTGTCCTGGAAGAATGCGACCGCGGGCTGCAAGAGGAGCGTGGGTTTTATGGGAAAACAAGAGTGTGGGGTGGGACTGCGTGAATAGTGCAAGAGCACGCGGCAGGTTGTTAACTGCATTCCTTTCCTAGAATCTCGTCTAACAGGACCTCACATTGTCTACTTACCCTATAGTGTTCCTGCCTAAACCCAGAGAAGTGCAGTAGCGAAAACATGGCAATGAAAAGGAAAGTTTTAAGCACTGAAGAGAAAGTTAAAGTGATTCGTGAAATATTGTGTGTATTGTCAGTGAAAAGCGCTGTAATATGTCCTTGATATTACACATTTGGACAATTCCACGTTAATGTTACGTTAGTCTGTACTTAACTATGTATTTCACTAAAAAATGCAACATTTTAACTCGGTTTTTCGTAGATTTTTACGTGACTAACATAAGGCTACTGTGGAAGTGCCCATTTCGGTTACAACGACATTCGTTTATAACGACACTATTTTTAGGTCCCTTTGATGACGTTATAACCAAGTTCTACTGTATATATAAATATATAAAATATAACATTATTATGTGACAGGTTGGATATAAGGTTGCCACAGCAGTGACTATGAAAAGTGTTACCTTTTGGATGTGACGTTGTGTTGTCTAATACTTCACCAATGCTTGAAAAAAAATAAAAGGACATCACAGTTAAGTAATTAAATAAATTACCTGGATATGCACATTATAGCGTGAAGCCAGTTCACCAAGTTTCTTCATCAGCTCCATGTCACAACTCAGGGCAAATCGTGGGGTTATAATAGGTAGAATCAAATTATTCTGTAAAATAAACTAATATAAGCTACAGACATGCCAAAGAGTCTAGCTATCCATATGTTCTAATACCTCAGCATGATAGGAAACTCAGTGGTCAGCTTCAGTTGTCAGTATCCCTGGGGCCAGTGGCCCTGGTACCCACTATCTTGAGTTCAGTGCTATTCTGGATGTAATTGCATCCCATTCACATAGTCACCTTGCTACTGAGTTACTGCAGTTGTTCATTCATAACAAAAATGATCTCACCTTCATATTTTGAATTTGCTTGATGAAGTCTTCTGTCTTCTGGTATGATTCTTTTGTAGTTTCTCCATAACCTTCAGGGGTTTTATAATTCATATTCACTTTCCCTATGAATGCTCGCTGTCCCTGATGGGTCACAATTTTTGCCAAGAGAATCGTGCTGTCTACATGAATTGTTGCAAAGTATACTGCTGTTGTGGTGCCATTAGCCAGTGTCCTCTTCTACCAATGATAAAGGGAGATATTATATACATGTTTCAGAAAATGATTTATTTGTAATTTATTTAACAGTGCTGTTACTGACTTAGACTATGTAGGATTGGGTTTCAGAAATAAGTAGCATGTGGGTGATAAGCTGACTTGAAAAGCCTAGATTACCTGATGCCTGGAAATACTTGCATTTATCTGGATTAACATAGGGCCCAATGGTAAGGGACTTTCAGGAAAGATATTGCTTGAACTACGTGAATGACCATTAACTCTTCAAGGACTCTTCATGAATTTTACTTGTGTGTTTTATATAATTAGAATGGTCAAATCAAGTTGGATGAGATCTGGGCATGTAGCACACATGGGAAAAAGAGGGATGAGATCTGGGCATGTAGCACACATGGGAAAAAGAGGTATGCATATATGGTTTTGGTGGGAAAGCCAGAAGGAAAGAGACCACTAGGAAGGCCTAGACATACGTGGGAGGATAATATTAAAATTGTCTTAGAAAAACAGAATGGGGTGGCATAGACTGGACTCATCTGGCTCAGGATAGGGACCAGTGGCAGGCTCTTGTGAACACAGTTATGAACCTTCAGGTTCCATAGAATGTTGGGAAATTCTTGAGTGGCTGAGCAACTGGTGGCTTCTCAAGAAAGACTCTGCTCCATGGAGTTAGTTAGTTCTTTATATTTGGTTTACATAATGACATAATTATATTGTGTTGCCTGCTGAAGAAAAACAGAAGTTAGGTTTCTTACAAAGTTTGTTCTTTTGCAAGCAAACTATGCCTACACAGGAACAACATACTGTTATTCTGTCAAGTTTAGTATCTTACTAGAAATGCAACCACCTTTCCAAAACTCTTCCAAGCTGATGAGTCTAAGTATCAAACATGAAAATTGGTTTCAATGTTTCCTTGTTAAACATCAGAGGGACTTATGCTACTGATTTTGTCAGTGTGAAGTGACTGCAAAATATTGTTTTCTGTCTTAAAGAAATTAGATTATTGGAGATATGTAAAACAATATCACATAATTTGCAGACTCAAACTCAGTACTGCCATATGCCATTCTCTAAGTCTGAGGGGTGCTTTTATGGCTAGATGCTAGTTTCACCAAGCCCCACCATTCAGTTAGATAGTTATTCTATGACTACATTTCTAGTTTATGTTCTCATTACATCTGATCAAGGACACCTTGCATAATGGTACAATGCCATACCAAGAATCAAATGGATCCCTTGTTATAGACCACTCTCTGCAAATATTACAGAATTTCTGGTTTCTACTAGAGTTTTAATTCTTAACATATGATGCACATTCCCATTTATCTTTCTCATCCAAACAATGGGATATGTCCAAAGAAAATGCTATGTGACACCCATCACAGACCTGTAAAACCATGACAGACAGAAGTTACAAAATTCCACAGAGCTGTTGAAACAGTTCCGCCCACATCATACAGCACGCTTCTGCAAGCCGTGAAACTCTTCGGTCCTTTCAGTTAAAAGGTTAATTTAAGAGAAGTAAAATCACTAAAATATATTCAGCTTATTGTAGCAAGATTCTGTAAACTATATTTTGAAAGAGATACTAACCATTTATAATAAATCAGTCTAGATCACTTACCACAATGGCTTCATACACTTTTGCAGCAAAACTCAGATCAGAATACTTCTTTTCAAGTGGGAAGGTGTAGGTTTTGAGCCAGTCCAATAGCTGCATATCATAACCTAAGCCAGCATTAGGATACTGTGGTGCATGAATATGTGTATCAATTAAACCTGGCATTAAAAACTGTCCCTTATCAAGATGATACACACAGCCATCAGTAACTGAATACTTTTTTTGTATTCGGGCCAAATTCTTTGGAGTTTCTTCCACAGCTACAATCTGGAAACAGGCATAATTAGCAAATGAAAACTCTGCTGAAAGTCAATGTACTTTACTGACCATGGTGATTCAAATCAAGCATGTCTGCTTCTTATTATGTTTAAATTTTGAAATGACATCCCTTGACTAGGATTTTCCTACAGTACTCAGAGATAGGCCGTGAATGCTTTCTTATTTAGTTAACCAGTGTGTGCGCCCATGTGTGTGTGTGTGTGTGTGTGTATGTGTGAGAGAGAGAGAGACTCTGACACTGATTTTGTAGCCGGATGTCAGACACTGCCCACAGAAATATCAATTTTTTGTATTAACAGGATTTTGTCAATACAAGCAAAATCTTCCAGAATTGGCATAAAGCAGAAAGAGAAGATTCTGACATTTCATTAGCTATCTGAGCACAGCTATAAGCTATAACTTGATCATGCAAGTTCAAACAGGTCAGCACAACAGCAATACATCTGTTTGTATTTGTGAGGTACCCAGCTTAAATCACAACCAGGATACTGTGTCCTGAATTAGATTTTTGTGTCTTTTCCCATCAGTCCACACAAAAGCCAGGTGATGCGTAAGAGTTGCTGCCTGCTCCAGCTTTCCTTATTAACCATACATGGATAGAAGAGGGAGAATGCATTCTATGAATAAAGTACTTCACAATGTATGTTTCTCTTCCATATATAAATGGTTCATTCATTATGTTACACCACTTCAAACATTTAACATGAAAAACCTTGATATCACAGAACCATTACACTTTTCTGGAATAACATTACATCACAGCTCTCAACTGTGATGCCCAGTAAAGGCCTTATATGTTAACAAAAGAGTGTATAAGAAGAGTCAGGCATGTTCTGTAGTTCCATAAGACCAATCAGTTGTTACAGTGCAAAGAAGGTACCAAGATCATTTTCAAAAGAGGCCTTCAACAAAGAGCATTTACAAAGAGTGTAAACAGTTCTTGGGAGCGATAAAGTGAGTTCCTTTTTAAAAATAGTACTGCAGAACCATAGGAGCCAATATAGGACAGTTGGTATAGTAATGGGCTATAGGCTGGACAGCCAGCGTTTGATTCCTGGCATAGGCAAGAGATTTTTCTGTAATCGACAGTGTCCAGATAGGCTCTGGAGCTCACCCAGTCTTGTATCCCATGGGTACCATGGGCTCCTGCCGCAGGGACAAAGCAGGTGGGGCATGAAGCTGACCACTCACCTCCATCTAGTGCCAAGGTTAGGAATGGTGGACCTATACCTCCACTCCCTCATATGCCTTCATTGAGTGGTGCTCAATTAATTAAGCCTAGAGGCAACTTTACCTTTCTCTTTTTTACCTGCTATAGGAATATATTAATTCTGAATACAGGAAGTGTATGAACTAGTTAATGGTTTTAAGGAGGTTTAAAGGTTTCAGTATGCCAACACTGAGAGCAGTATTCATTCTCTTCCTTGTAGCCAAACAGCCATCCTCATTACTTTGCTCATGAAATTTAGAGGCAATGAACCATGGTAACATCCTCTATACAGACTCTCTTCAAAGTTTCTATAAGAACCTACCATGAGAAAGAGAGCCAGGGTAGTGCAGTCAGTTTAGCGACTGTCTACAGGCTGGACAACCGAGGGGTCAGAGTCCTTGTAGAGTCAGAATTTTCTCTTCTCCATATCATCCAGACTGGCTCTGGGGCCCACCCAGCCTCCTATCCAATGGGTATTGGGGGCTCTATCCCTGGGAGTAAAGTGGCAGAGGCATGAAGCTAACCACTCACCTCCAGCTAGTGCCAAGGTCAAGAAAATGTGGATCTATACATCCACTCCCCCATGTGCCTTCATGGCGTGGTGCTTAATTAGTTAAGCACAGGTACAACTTTACCTTTTACCTTTTTATCTACCATGAGAAATAAGACTTGGAACAATTAACTGAAAATACTTCAAAGTCCAAAATTGGTATAAGCATAAGCACGACAGCCTCAAAAAGCAATACTTGAAAAGCTAGCCATCCAGTTCATGTGTTAACTGGTTATGCACTGTAAAGATTTTAACCTACCTTCCCATTTACTGCAGCAATCAATCCACCATCAAAGACTTTAAGCTTAGTGATCTCCTCAGAATGCACAATTGGACCGACAATAATGAAAGGTTTGTTGTGTACTTCCTGTAAAAATTGCAAGATTCACTTAAATAAATTAGAATATATAGGACTGCCTAAAGTACATCATCAGACTGGGGGGNGGGCAGCACCAGCAATGGCTGTAATTATATGGGAATTAAACTGGTATATAAGTGAACAGGGGGCACACAGTAGTGTACTTGGTTGAGGCACCATGCTACAAACCAGAAGGTTGTGGGTTCGAGTCCCAATGAGGTGAATCTTTTCAATTTACCTAATCTTTCCAGCCACAATCCCCAGCCTGGGATTGACTCAACCTCTAAGAGAAATAAGTTCCAGGAATCTTCCTGGGAGGTAAAGGGTTGCCAGCATATAAGGCTGACAACCTTACCGCCATCTATGAGCCAAATGTCTAGAGAAAATGTGTGAGCCTCAACATCTCACAACCCTATGGGCCTTCACAGCCTGTTACAGGGGAAACTTTTTAACACATACAACTACACACACATACAGAAGTTATACACATACAATATTTTGTAGTTCTACCATATTTACTCAGAGTTTTTTAATGTCTATGTAAAGTTTTCTAATACCAGTACATAGGTATTTATCTGAAAATGTTCATAAAACCTTTGTGATATATTCGCATAAGCCTCACGATGTGGGAAACCTTAACTAATATATAGTACCTTGGTGTACATAATTACCAAAAATAAAAATCACACTGTCAACTGAAAGTGAGACTTTCTCTAAAATATCACCATCTGACAAGATATGATGTTTATAAATATGCACGTTTCCACAAAGCTATTTAATTTGTTAAAAATGTTATCATACCTGTTAATGCAAAATCTGAAGTTACAATAATCTAATGTGTTTCAAGCATAATTTTAATATTCCCAGTTTCTTCACATTAAATAAACTCCTTTCTCCTTTCATGAGACCTTGAATAAGTTCCTTGTTTGAAGTCATCAGCGAATTCAACAGAATCTGATCCATTTTCTTTAGACACTTAATTTCTAATGCAAAACTGTATTTTAATGAGCTTTAATTTGTTGCTTTATAATCTTCAAAAATATATGGAGTTGTAAACTGTATTATCTAATTTAAATTAGTTTTCATTATATTTTCTCTGATAAATTTTTATAAAGGTAAAGCTCTCCCTGTAACAGGCCATGGAGGCCTGTAGGGTTGTGAGATTAGACAGCTGGCGGTGAGGTTGTCAACTTTACAATTTTAGGCCGCACCATAGCTCAAGCAGTTGGTCGCTGGCCTCCCACCGCGGTGGCCCATGTTCGATCCCAGGTCTGGTCAAGTGGGATTTATGGTGGACAGGGTGGCGCTGGGGTGGGTTTTCTCTGAGTACTTCGGTTTCCCCTGCCAATCTTCATTCCACCAAACTCTCCATCATCATAATCACCCGGGGCAAGTATAATAGGCCAATCAGTGGCCGCCATGCCAAGTGGACCCAGTTGGACTCCACCCCTCACTAAGTGAGGTTGTCAGCTTTACACACCAGCTGCCCTTTACCCCCAGGAAGATTCCTGGTACTCTTTTCTGTCAGAGGCTAAGTCAACACCAGGGCCATAGTGCAGCTGGAAGGATTAGGTGCACTGAAATTCCAATGACATAGTTGGGAATCAAACCAACAACCTTCGGGCTTGTAGCATCATGTCTCAACCAACTACACTATTGTGTGCCCACCCAATTTGGATCTCACATCACTAACAACTGAACAGGGTCTATTACTCTCCATATTAATACACAATAAACACTGTAGCAAAATATGGAAAAGCTTCTTCACAGTATGCATGTGTGTATAAGCACATAAAAATTGAATGTGTCCCTCTGATGCTGCCTGTACTCTTGTACAAGACTGCAGTCCAGCCAGGATAGCCCCCTCATGCTCTTCTGAGTGCTAGAACTTTGTTTAAAGACACTGATGTGAAATGTTAAGTACAGCATATTTAATTTGCAACTTCTGAATTGGAAACATCAGCTTCTTTAAGTACCTCTGTGTGGCTTGTGGACTGTTTGTGATTCAGTTCTGTATTTAAAAGTGTAAAGCTCTTCTTAAATAATGAGAATATCTTCTGTATCTTCATTAATAACCTTTTTTTTTAATTCGCTGATTGGGGGGTGGAGTCCAACTGGGTTCACTTGGCACGGCTGCCACTGATTGACCTATTGTAGCCTGCCCCAGGTGATTATGACGATGGAAAATTTGGTGGAATTAAGATTGGCAGGGGAAACCAAAGTACTCAGAGAAGACCCACCACAGCGCCAATTTGTCTACCACAAATCCCACTTGACCAGACATGGGATCAAACCCGGGCCACCGCGGTGGGAAGCCAGTGACTAACTGCTTCAGGTATTAATAACCATTTCTTTCAACCTGGAACTGCATGCCAGGCTGCCCTGTCACTTATTTTTATTTATTTTTTTTTTACTACACCCCTGCACTGATTGTGAATTCATTCCTTCTTATTTGTTGCTATTATCTGGACCAACTCTTTACAATTAATAGTTACCTTATGTGCATCTCCACTCATGGTGTACCCTCTGCACCTTTAGAATCCTCTCACACTTGATACTCTGTAGAATAAATATTTAATGGCATAATGTACTATCAGAGTGATATACTAACTCTATTTGAACAGTGTTTACATATACAGAAAGACTGCATGACATAATTCTATAGTGTCAATTTAAATGAAGTTATTTGAAGGATAATAATTTGACCAGTTTTTATGAACAGACTGTACTTTTATTATGTAACACATGAAAGTCAATTTACCTAAACACTATGACTTCTGCTGTGCCCCGTTTCACACTGGCACACAGCTTTCATAACCAGATTAATATTCCTTTGGCTCTGTCACATGACAATCATGCAAATGCCTTATCACTCATGAGGTTAACCACATGACCGCAGACATAAACTCCGACCCCTTATTAGCAACCGGCTACTACTATCTGTATATCTGTATCTCAATATGTATTTGAGAGCGCTCTAATGGTAAATATTGTAAACCACACAAAATTTCAACAAGCAGTTCTGTGGCCCTCGGGATCTCGGGATTTCAGGCCACATATTCTCGAAAAAGTCCTATGTTTCGCAGGATATATTGCCTCCATCTACATGCTTTGTTCAGGTTATGGTTTCAGCGGGTTTCAGTGTTTTTCTTGTGATCGGTAGTCCGACGGCTTTTCAGTCGGATGCAGTTGCACGAACAAAGATACGATTGAATTTTGCGTATACGTTTGGAGTGGGGGCACATCAAGGAAACTGGCAACTGCAACGCAATCGCAATTCCGAGAAATGTCGCCGATTTCAAGCAGGCAATTGGTTTCCTGATTAGCAGGCGCACACTGAGGAAACTCATATTTGATTAGTTGCTCAAATCATCTTGAGTGGGTATATTAAACTGACCCTCCACAAAGCTCTCATTAGATCCATAAAGACTTATACTAGTCCCGCCTGGGAATTTGCGGCAGACACCCATGTAATGAAATTGCAACGCCTGCAAAACAAGGTTCTCCGTACCATTGGTAATTTTCAAAAGCGCAAACCAGTCCGCGATTTGCGATACGTATATGACTATGTAACAAAATTATGCAGGCAACAAGCAGAAGTCATACAAAATCATGATAATGAGAATGTTCGCAACATCGCACAAGGCGAAGCCCGACACAGAAAGTACGAGTATATGAGGCTTAAACTAGGCGGCAGTCAGGCATACGACCGTTTAAGTGACTAGACTACCGTGGTAGCGAATACTGCTATAAATAGGACATAATCTGCTGTACTGAGCCTGGACTGACAGAGGCCTTATACATATTATACATAGAAATAGGAATTAAGATTAAATTTGTAAATGTATGTAAATACTGACAATGGACTTATTAATACGGCCTATGACTGACAAATGACATACCCGACCGCTCGTCAGAGAGGGCGCCCCAAATGGACAGGACAGTATTTTTTTTTATTGCTAGTGGCGTGGGACTAAGTCCCTTGTACTGCAGCCACTTCTGGCCTATTGTACCAGTCCCAGATGATAGGTGAGGGTGATTGTGGAGCAATTGGTGGAATGAAGATTGGCAGGGGAAACCGAAGTACTCAGAGAAAACCTGCCCCAGAGCCACTTTGTCCACCACAAATCCCACTTGACCAGACCCAGGATTGAACCCGAGCCACCGCGGTGAGAAGCCAGCGACTAACCGCTTGAGCTATGGCGCGGCCCTACAGGACAGTAATTTTCATATAAGGAAAAAACAAAATCTGGTCATAAGCCGCAGCCGGGGCTCGACACCAAGACACACTGGCTGGCCGTCAGTCGCAATATGACTTTGAGAACAGAAGTCAGTCAATCAGTCGAAGCAGCTGCGGGAAGAACTGAGCATGTGATTGGAAGATTTTATGTGTGATAATGAATGATAGTTTGGGTGTGCATAATTCAGTTAACACTTGTATAGCTCCTGCATTATAGTGTAAATAAGTGAAGACTATTGAAAATAGAGTGGAGAGATTAGTATGTTGGGTTTGTAAATTGTGTAAACCTGCAACAGTGTTATAATCATTTGTAGTTACGACTTGTAGGTTGTTAATAAAACCAATTAACAATCCGAACGGCGTCCACAGTAGACCAAATATGTTACAATATATATAATGAAATCTGAGATAGCTCAGTCGGTATAGGTATAGGCTGCTGACTGTATGAGCAGGGTTCGATTCCCAGTAGGAGCAGGGGATTTTGCTCTTCTCTACGCCATCCAAACCGGCTCTGGAACCCACCCAGCCTCCTATCCAATGTGCACCGGGGGCGCTTTCCCCGGGGGTAGAACGGCCAAGGCGTGAAGATACCCTCCATCTAGTGCCGTCAAGAATAGTGGACGTGTAACTCTACCCGCCCATATGTGATAATTAATTAAGCACAGGAGCAACTTTACCTCTTTGTTGGGCTATATTGCCTGGTATTGAAATACTCGTATCAGCCATAACACATGCAAGTAATGCTTTAGAAAGCGAGAAGAGTAAAGGGCTAGGAAGTGGACTTCTTTATGAGCAGAGAAAAGAAGTTGAGCAGGGGCGTTACTGCATATGATCGGAATTAATTTTGATATTAACGTTGGACGAGCCACATGAGAATAAAATATTTATTTTACATTTAGAAGTCTACTTTAGATCGAATTTTTGATACGATCTTTGTAAGGGCTGCCTTTGAAGCATGCAATGTGACATGTCTACAAATTCAGGATTTGCTCTAGAACCCAGGAAAACTAAGAACCTTGATCGATTTTGCCAGTTGCACAACCTTCCGGATGCATATTAACTTCAAACCAGCAGTTAGGCATTAAATACACGAACCCTAACTTTATATATTTCCAGAGTTTGTTTCATGTGCATACCTTCCTCTTCTAATTAATATATAAAAATTAAGTTCATACAGCACAGTAAGCACATTACGCCCGCTTTGAAGATAACCAGTTTAACGTAGTTTAGAGATACAATCGCTCTGAGAATCATACGAAGCATACTCTGGGAGTAGAATGCAGAGGTCTAATTTACACAGGTTCCTACCGTTTAAGGAATGTAATTAATAATTACTGTACTATGAAGGTTTAATGGTAAATAAGGTAAAGCTGTCCCTATACTTAATTAAATGAGCACCACCCCATGAAGACTTATGAACTAGAGAAGGTATAGCGCCACCAGTCTTGATCTCTGTACTAGATGGTTGTGAGTGGTCAGAATCACACTCTGGCCGCTTTATCCCTGGGGAAAGATTCTCTGATAACCACTGGGCAGAGACTGGGTGGGCTCCAGAGCCAGTCTGTACACTGTGGTGTGAAGAATAATCTCTTTCCTTCCTGCCGAGAATCAAACTCCAGCCATGTAGCTTGTAGCCCTTCGTTATGAAGGGTTAATAGGCAAATTTTCAAAATTTATTTATGAATCCCGCTGGGAAAGAACATCATTAGGTTTACTGTACGTAAATTTTGTATGAATAATGGATTTCTATATCTTGGCTTTTGAGTACTCCTCCTCGCCCTTCTGCTGTCTCTTCTGTAGTTCGATTCACAGCGTCTGACCACGTGGAATTATGAACGATTATGTAGCAGAAAGTTGGCACTTCTGCTGCAGTTCCATCTAGGCTGATCTTGACTGTGATCTGTTGAGGCATAATGTAAATGTCAGTTGCATTCAGGTGCTACTGTAATTCCCCTTTGTTCTATCAATATGCATCACGAAGTCTGGTTTCAGTATGCCAGGCCATCCGTGAGCAACGAAGTTGCTAGCTGCGTTTTGTCATGACCAGTGGATAACATATATACTTCAAACCAAATCAGAACAAAGTTTTATGAGATATGGAATTTGACAATGAAAATGCATGTTTGTGCTTTTCTCGATTCTGTGGTAAATGAGAATCGAGAAAAGCACAAATGTCCATTGGGAGAATATGTAAAACTATAAGGGGCAGAAAGAAAGTTTCAGAATGCGATGAAAATATGTAGGAACAACACAAGGAAAAGAATATATCAATTGTCAATCAGAATTCAGTTAATTGAGGGAATCTGTGAAATATGCTAATGCTGTAGAACAAAAAAAGTGCCAGGTCGACAATTGTAAGACAAACAGTGCCCGTCTGAGAGAAATTTTATAAGCAAGATTCTACAAACTGCGAAGAAATCAAGACCACAGAAATAGCTTGTTGTGCGTCAAAAACTGTGTACTGGTGTGATGTGGGACTCTGTGTGGAATGTTTTCATAACCGACACACCCAGCTGAATTTCTAAGATAATATGATACCATAATTCCTAATTTTTATAGGCTTGCTTGCTTACTTACTCATGGAGCTGAGCCCTTCTGGAAGAGCTGCCAATTCTGCAGCTACTCAAGAATTTCCCAGCATTTTATGGAACCCAAAGGTTCATTACCATGTTCACAAGAGCCCTCCACTGGTCCCTATCCTGAGCCAGATCAATCCAATCAATACCATCCCATTCTATCTCTCTAAGATCCATTTTAATATTGTCCACCCACCTACGCCTTGGTCTTCCCTGTGGTCTCTTTCCTTCTGGCTTTCCCACCAATATCCTATACACATTCCTCAACTCCCTCATTCGTGCTACACGCCCTGCCCACCTCATCCTCCTTGACTTGATCATTCTAATTATACTTGGAGAAAAGTACAAGTAATGATGCAGTTTTCTCCAACCTCCTGTCATTTAATCTCTCTTCGGTCCAAATATTCTCAACACCCTGTTCTCAAACACCCTCAGTCTCTGTTCATCCCTTAATGTAATTTTTATAGGCTTACTGTACCAAAAATAAATTTAAAGCAGTGTGGATCAATACACCGATTCTATATACATTTCTGAATGTAGTGTGAGAATTAGAAAAACAAAACTCCCATTTTTCCCAATTTATTATGCTATAAGTGAAATGTTGCATTTACCATTTTAAATGTTTAACTACCCTCCGTCCCAAGGAGTGAGTAAGAATTAAATGTCCTGCGCCATTGAAGGGTTAAGAATGATCGTTAAAGAAGGTGTTAATAAATCTGATTATCCAATCCAAAACCCGTTATTATCGGTCATGAGCCATAAACATGTGACAGTATTTTATACATGGTTTATTATACCATTACCATTTTTTGTTCCATTACTTTTTATTAACCTATGTGTCTTGGTGTTCTTCCCCCATATAATGTTCTCAAGAAGTTCTTTTGTCACATCAGAAAGGACTATGAATAATTCTGTTTCATTCTTCTTTAAATTTCTTGGAATACAAGATACTTAGTTTAACATCCCAAGTTCCCTGATCAGTCCAGTGATGAATATGGTCAGTGTGGCCACAGCACCCTGATTTGGGCAGCTGGGCATTTAAACACCACTACTGGAAGCACACGCACACGCCACTAGTAGAAGCGCATGCAAAATCCTAAATACGTATTTTCATCAGTGACATTCTGGTCAACCTACTGAAGAATGCTGGATAATTGAGCATTCAGTGACATTATGAGGGATTTCTAAGTGAATACAGTCAGATGTTTAAAACAATTACATGATGAACATTTAATTGTCTATAAAAATGTGAAATGAATGAAATGTCTAAAGTAATCAATTTCATTAAGAGGTCAAATATAAATCACAAGCCAAGTACCAACATGTAAGATTTGAGGTTTTCATGGCAGTGACTATGAAGAATGCCATCTTCTGGGATGTGGCGCCATGTAGATATTGTGTTAACTGACGTTTTGGAGGAATGTATTGCCTCCATCTTCAGGGTATAAGAAATCCACGAGTGAGGAACCAGCCACTTGCACACACTGGTTCCTCACTCGTGGATTTCTTATACCCTGAAGATGGAGGTAATACATTCCTCCAAAACGTTAGTTAACACAATATCTACATGGCGCCACATCCCAGAAGATGGCATTCTTCAGGTACCAACAGATTCTCACAGCACTGGGGGTACCCACCGCCGCAATGCTCTTCTGCCCTAAAGATGGAGGCAACAGGTTCCTCAGAAATGTTGGTAACATCGTACCAAACTACACAGCGTCACATCCTGGAAGACAGTAATTTTCACACAGACATATGTCTTATTGGAAGAAGGAATTAGAACAAACTCTTTATGTATTAATAACATTATCACATTGTGATATGGTATGTACAGAATGAATGTCATGACATCATATACATTATAGTATAAAGTGACAGAACAGCAGGAAGCATTTCAGAGAGTGATGGAACTTCAAACAGGCCAGAGACAGAACTGTTCATGTATAAATGCAACATGAGATTCCAGAGCTAAACAAAGATAATACATTCAGTCAATCTACCACTTTAATAACAATGCTTATTTTCTTTACAAAAATAAGTTTTGTGGCTCCATGGCTCTTCTTGGTTGTTCACGTTCTGTGTTAGAGGTTTCTTTAGAATCCTTCGATTCCTATTTGTGATTTGAAAGTGAGAAAGGTATTCATGTCCTGTGCTTCACTAAGCACCATGCCATGAAGACATATGGGGGTGTGTACATACAGCTCCACACATTCTTAATCTTGGCACAAGATCAAAGCAGATGGTCATCTTCATGGCCTGGCTGTCTTATTCCTGACACCCATTCAGTTGGAGGCTGGGTGAGACCCAGAGCCAGTCTGGACATTATAGAGAAGAATCCCTACCCCTGAGAGGAATCGAACCTTGATTCCTCAGTTGTCCAGCCCATAGCCTAATCACTTTACTGAGCTATCCCAGCTCCTCAGTCTGTTCTGCACCTAATGGGATGTTTAATAAAATTTAAATCTGCACTTCACATTGTGCTCTAACTGCATGATGTGCAAATTAACCAGACTATTAGGTAATACTTCAGTGACTACAGTATTTTTTCCTCAGGCTCATTTACATGTACCTGACAGGCGAGGCCAGAACATTTACTTTGGACCTTATGAAGTATTCAATAAATACTCCGTTACAGTAGAGAAAATTAAGACAGGAGCAAGTCATTGCCTAGAATAACAGACACAAGATTCAGGTGAAGATGGTTTGTTGATGAGTAATCATTGTTTCAAGAGCAGATATTTCATATGTCATGCCAGGCAGGCCACCACATTTGCTCAGATCAGGTGCAGGCATCAAAGTTGGAGCAAATACAGTGCTCAGATTGTGGGCAGTCATCTTGTTTGTGATCTGATGCTGGACTACCCTGGTGACAAAAACAGTCAGTTGAAATGATTTATCACATTATCCTTTGCTACTGTATAAACTGTGGTATACCATATAAATGAAAACATATACTTTTTAAGTTTCCATGGCAACCACATGCTATTAAATAATCTCACAGAATCAGCTGTCTAAAATATAGTTATTATTCAATATTTTATAGTATGTTTTCATCATCAGGGGTTGATGTGATGAGTGACGCTGCTGCACGTATTTATACACACCAAGTGTGCTCTCAGCTGTCCGACTGCAGACTACTACCCGAACTTCACCCACTCTGTCGGTACAAATTCTTGTGGTCACATCATTCATTATATCAACCCCTGATGATGGAGACAGTCTCTGAAATGTTGGATACCAACTCCCTCTTCACACAGGTGATAACCCAAGAATACTTGACTAAGCAAAACCAATTTACAGTTTATAATTATATTGTGCAATATATAAGTCTAATATGAATATAAAGTCTGCAACAAAGTAAGCAGCTTAACATGAATGCATATCCAGGAGGCGACCATATAAGATAATGCTTTATAATATACCACATCTGTATGTTTGTAGGGTATCAGGTTTATGCTGTATGCTGGCCCTGTTCATAGTGGCAAAAAAAAAAAAATCAAGGCACCTCAATTTCAGATTTGAAATCTTGATTTTATTAGGCCAATCTAGAAATGGCAAATAACTTGATATGTACCAGTTTTATTGAATGTTAATACACAAATATGGATTCAATGCATAAACTCAAATACCACTGTTATGGCGTGAAGGGGGGGTGGAGGTACCTCCACCGCTTCCGCCACTGTACCTCTCTTAACTCTCTGACTGGCGCGGGCGTGTTTTAACGCCCGGACGATGCCAGCCATTCCCTGGCGTTGGCGTGTTTTAACGCTTTGACAATCTCATCCCTTCTTTGCTCTCTTGGCACTCATCAACCAAAGACATATATATGATAGTTTTTGTGCATGTTTGTAAAGAACCCTTGTAAACTTTGTGGGGGTCTATATTACTGTCAGAACCCTCTGAGAAGGTAAAGGTCAGAAAATATTTCACATTCATTCAGTTTCACCATAGCTTCTTGCAGCAAGTGTCTTCGTGTTCCTACAGACCAGCTGGAAAATGTTGTGAACGAGATTTTTTCTGATGATGATAGTGGCGATGAAATAATGATTCCTGAATTGGATGAAGTTGATAGTGACAATAATACAGTGATAGACAATGATCCACAAGACAGTAATCATGAACATTTACCT